AAGAAGAGAGAAAGTGACTACCCATATAGTACTAATAGCTAGCCCTAATATTAATGAAGTTGGGACCAATCGACCACCAATATTAATTATCAGACCTCTCCTATAAAAGCAGCTGATTATAATTGTGACCAAATTTTTTGGGGGAGATAATGAAGAAAAAAAAAAAAGGTTATCTTAAGCAAAAATCCATTTCAATCCCTCTCTGCTGAAAGTGGGATTTTGACGTGGTCCATATATATATACTGTATGCAATTGGGACCAGATCGATGATTTTGGTGGTACGTAGTAATTGAGAAACCCCAAAAAAAGGGCTCAGAATGATACGTTACATTTGTATATTTATGTATGTGCATAGTAGCTAATAGCTAAGCATCACTCTCCGGCCTCTGCATCAGTCTCTGCAGATGGCAATTGATACCAACTACTCAAAACCACCACAACCTACACACCGCCAACTCTTCCACATCCCCCACCACATTTAAAGATGGATCGAACGATAGTGTTTTTCGATAGGAATCGGTTGATGACAATAACTCGAGTCGTCAAAAGGGGTTCAATAATTAAACTTATGCTACGTACTAATACACCCCTTCAAACTCAAGCTTCGTACTCATATGAACTTGAAGTTTGCACGGTTCGAAAAATGGGATCGTCAGGATTTGAACATAAGATATCTCGATCGTAAAAATGCTCTGATACATTGTCAAGAATGAGCTGGTCTCAATATAACTTTAGATGTAGGGAGAGGTTTGATAATGGATCATATACCACTTACTAACACATCCCTAAAAAGAAAGCCGACATATATGGGTTTGAAATTTGCACAGGTTCGAAGACCATGTGCTTAACAAATGAGGTCGCGGGATTCAAACATAGGAACTCTCGATTAGGGGTGTGCAACAGATTAGTCCGTACCAGACCGTACCGCACTAAACCAAACCGACACTTGCACCAGACCATAACAAATAGAATATGACGTTGGTCCCATGAATTTTATTAATACTGGAGGAAAGTGGACAGAAGTGACATTCAGATCAATCTAGAGCGGATCAAATACAATGTTGGTTCGGTCCTTGGTCCTAAGAAGTCTTTCACTATTGGATCACGATTCTCATGAGTTTGATTTGGTCCAAATCAGACCGAACTGTTGCACACCCCTACTCTCGGTCACTAAAGGATCTGATACCATGTCAATCACCAATTGATCCCAATAGCTCGAGTTGTTGTGAGATGTTGAATTATGGATCTTATATCATTCGCTAACACGCCCATCAAACGAAAGCTTACTATTATGAATACCATGTGCTTAACAAATGGGGGATTGTCCGGATTCGAACACGACACCTCTCGGCCAATGAAGGCCCTGATACAATGTAAAGAACCGTTGATCCCAATAACTCGAGTTGTTGTGGGAGGTTTAACAATGGATCTTATACCACACACTAATACACTCACCCTCTCAAACTCAAGCCACTCATGCTTGAAGTGTGCACAGCCCAAAAATGGGGCCGTCAACAAAATAAGACCTCTTAGTTATGAAAGACTCTGAATTAAAATTCTAGATGTTAGAAGAGGTAAGTTCAATTATATAGATCATATATCACTTACTAACACTTCTAACTTTGAAATGACTTGGGAGTTGGGACTCGACATGTGTAAGACTATTATACTCGAACCTCCCTCAATAACTCCACCTAAATAGTCGTGGTTGGTTCTCTACAATGCAGTCAAAATCGGGATTTTGATCGTAAAATCGTAGGGTTTTAGGATTTTACTCAGGGATTCCGATCCTGATTTTACTATAAAATCGGTGGACCTTAAAATCGTTCAAAATCGGGATTAAAATCGTAAAATCGTACCAAAATCAGGATTTTGATCCAATGTGAACAAAACAGAGCCAATTCAAAAGAAGCAGAACTATTTCGGGGGGACAGACCAATTACGGGGATCTTCTCATATATTTTTCCTATTAAAAGAACTTTTGAAAAGGAAAAAAAACAAATTAGGGTTCGGTTAACACCTTTCCCTTCCCGTTGTTTAACTCATCAGTAAAACCGTTGCCATGATATTATAAATACGCAAGAATTGACATCGTTATTAATAAATTAATTGATTAATGAATATATTTGTACCAAACCAATGACATTAATTTTTTTATTGGAGTTCACTTATTCTTAGTTTTAAATCATGCTTAGTAGATGATGTCGGAATACTACTTTGAGTTAAACTACCTAAACACAACATGAAAACAAGAGCAAACCCCATGAGCTATCCCTTTCCTATAAATTATTTTGAGTTACACATTAAATAACAATTAAAATGATGATTTTGAAATATTAATCTTCAAATTATCATTTTAAATGTTATATGTCTTCGTCTTATTAATGATATACCTTATTAATATTATTATATGTTAATTTCTATATGGTACTTAAAATCCTACGATTTTACGATTCAATTTTACGATTCCGATTTTACCCCAGTTTTCTATTTTAGGTAAAATCTCGATTTTGACTGCTTTGGTTCTCTATAATATGATCGATCCCATCTCCGAAAATAAAATCCAGGGGAGCTAGCTAGTTAGTAAGAGAGCTAGGTGGGGAGGGAGGAGCTGTTGTGGTCCAAAATGAATCATGTAAGAAACGAATGTGGCGAATTGTACTTTAGGGGGACCATATAATAACCATATGTATGTGCGATCTAACTTGCGCCCACTATTTTTTTTCACCTTACGTATGTTGAAGCAGTTTTTGCGAGAGCCATAAGATTGTTGCAGAATCCCCAGAAAGCTCGATTCTGTGAAAGGAGAATGACTGTAAAAACTAAAAAGGGGGCTACCCCTGAAACCCACAAAAGAGAAATGCTATTTATAAAGAAATGAAGGGAGAGAAAAAAAAAACAGAGGAAAATAGGTAACAACAATAATAATAAGTAGAGAAACGGGACCATAGGGGCAAGCATTCTGTTGCAAGAGAACATGTTGTGTTTGGAACAGACATAATATATTATGAGAGGGTCTTCTTCAGCCTCACCGTTCATTCTTCTGACATTATCACGTGCTGACATTATCACAATCTTTAGGGGGACCATATAATAACCATATGTATGTGCGATCTAACTTGCGCCCACTATTTTTTTTCACCTTACGTATGTTGAAGCAGTTTTTGCGAGAGCCATAAGATTGTTGCAGAATCCCCAGAAAGCTCGATTCTGTGAAAGGAGAATGACTGTAAAAACTAAAAAGGGGGCTACCCCTGAAACCCACAAAAGAGAAATGCTATTTATAAAGAAATGAAGGGAGAGAAAAAAAAAACAGAGGAAAATAGGTAACAACAATAATAATAAGTAGAGAAACGGGACCATAGGGGCAAGCATTCTGTTGCAAGAGAACATGTTGTGTTTGGAACAGACATAATATATTATGAGAGGGTCTTCTTCAGCCTCACCGTTCATTCTGCTGACATTATCACGTTCTGGCAGCTCACCATTTCTCCCTCTCTGCTCAATCTCTGATCCACCCTCCTATGTACATACTTGGGTTATTCTTTATTTTCATTATTGAGTTCTATATCATTACGGTGCAATCCGAGTTTTCAGATCGAAAATATAAAAGAAAGAGCGATTTTATGTAAGTGTTCATCTATTCCAATTGGTATGAGGATTTTTGGGAAGGATACATAGAGAGTTATATCGTACATTTGATTAAATTGGTCGACCATATCGATGGAATAGTTGATCGAACTTGTCCGTCGGATACCGAATAACTCTTACTTGGAGTTCAATCCAAGTCACCATTGGAATAAGAGCGTATAATAGTATCGTAAGCTATATAAATGGGTAGGTCGAGTAGTTCTACTTCATGTTATTTCTCAATGACTTGGTTGGGTAAGTTAGCTAAACGAATCGGTTCTTGACCAAGTAGAAGAGTCGTCTTTGATTATAAGGTCCAGCTCGCGGTTATTTTGTATCAGTTAATATCCACATAAAGTAGTTGCAAACTTTAAGACCATGCATGGTTGAATTTCGCTATGATATAATGCAACATTCATTTATGGGTATCTTATAACACATTTGGGTTATTTAGAAAACTGATTATGAAAATGATATAAAAATATTTGACCGGGAAGTCATATATTGAAAATTACAAGATGATTCCCAATATTAATTATTCTTTTTGGAAAATTCCCGTTAAAGACCATAAATATACGTACTTTTCGTTTATATAAACATGTAACAAGGTTGATATAGAATTCATGACAAACCTTTTATGAGGAATAAAACTATAGGAACGAACTAATTATTGACACACCTCCTCACCAACATCCTATCTACCAGCAATGAATTATCGGATCATAGGCTTGAGAAGTAAACAAATGTTTGTGGGCTGGGGTTTTTTTTTTTTCTTTCTGAATTCTTTTTCTACTTTTAATATGTTTTCTTTGCATGGGTGGTGGATCTTTAGCTAATAATAATTTTCTTTTATATGGCTAATAAACTATAAATAATTAAATGGCTGTTGGGATTTGGAAGATATTCTTTGTGGAAGAGCTTGGCTAATTATTGATGCTCAATAATCATAAAGGCTTGATATGTTTCCATCTCCCCCTACCCTAGCTAAAACTAGATCTGTATCATCTTTTATAAGAATACTAGCGCAGGGCCCGGCCCGTTGGGCGGGTAAACTAAACATAAGCGGCGCATTTGACAAACGTTGGAACATGAAATCAAATGAAAACGAATTCATTTTTTGGTCAATTTAAGTTACAAATTGTTCAGTTAAAATGTTTATACGAATATATGAAATTTAATAAGTGGGCTGTAATATTTGGAACATAATAATAAGCATCACATTGGTAAAAACCACAGGAGATAGATGGAGCAGCCAAGTAATAATCTATTCGGGGAAAGAGTTCAACATTCATAATTGGAACAACTATACAGAAATTATCTTTGAATTAAAGCACTGTTCAAGTACGTCACCCCCTCTACCAGAATAATTTGCGAAGAACCAAATCAAACTCATTGGTCTGGCCGTTGAAATCTCCAAATTCAATCATAAACTTCAATATATTCCCCCTGAGAGCAGCTAGGAGAGTCCTGAAGTCATTGGTCCATTCCTTGTCTGTAGCCTCAATGATACGGCTTGCTATCCACCGGAACTTGGTAGTCATAAACATGATAGAAGCCTCATGAGGACCAGTAGCAACAGTCAGCCTCACCATAAACTTGAGATGCACACTTGACCAAGAAACAGTAACATCCTTGACTGTTGCAGTAGTAAGGTACAAATTCCCCTGCAATATGAACCACATGAAAGCTTACATTTGGGAATGGTAAGAGGATAATTGATATTTTATTGGTCAAGTTAGAGCATTAGAGACGCAGTTACATCCAACCATGGTGTCCAGGCCAACAATTATGATATTCAATGGGAGCAAAATATGAATGTTGAAATTTTTGTAGGAGTTGACCGAGTGTACATATAAACTACCTGGTTGGTGAAATCAGTCTTATATAGATTCAGTTCCGAAATGGAACATATCTCACTTAACCATATAGCATCCTCCAACGTGTAGTCAATGGCCAGCGGGACATTTTCTATACTGTAAATAAAAAAAAATAATTCCAAAACATGAGAATAAGAATAATAAAAGAATTGATTCTATTGATCAAAGGTTAAACACTTACTTATCAAGCAGGGGGTGCACGTGAGGATAGTGCAAGTTGCAATATACTTTCGTTGCATTTGAGCCCACACAATATTCTTCCCCTAAAACCATAACATCTAAAAACTCAATTACCACTAATCTAAACTAAAAGAACAGGTTCGAAAAATAGAATGAAAACCATGTAAGAGACCTGCGAAGTGGCGAACAACAACGGAAGTGAAGACAACTACTGTTCCTGGTAAAGGATCATTAGGTGTCACAGCTTGAAATTCGTCAATTAGACCATCCCATAAGACGACATCAACTATAGGTCCCCTAAAATTTTTTTAAAAAAAAGATGCATGAATGGGCTGCATACGGTAAGCACACTTCAAATGTAACCTGTACAAAAAAACAACCAACTGACTCAATCAATCTAAGCTGCACTCCCTTTCGCCGTAAAATAGCAGCATCTTCGAATAGGACCTCTTCTTGTTCAACAGTTTCAACCTCCCCAATTAAATCTGAGCCCAAACATATCGTTAGGCACACAATATGAAAACCAAACCGGCCAAATAAAGCTTTCTTTGAATTAGAAATACCAGACAAATATTCATGATTATGGACAGCAAAGGGAAGATCATTAGCAGCCAAAAACCGAAAGCTATATGTTGGTATGTCGGCTGCATTCTGGAGTTCCTCAATCACCGTATCATTATGAAAGCGGATTCGGATAGTTGCAGGAGCAACTCTATACGTATCATCATATTCTTGGACCAAAAAGTTGCTCAAGAAATAGATCCTTCCCACGTGAAGAAGAGGAGCAAACAACTGAACATTAAGAATATCAACCAAGGCCTGCATCTCTGTTCCCTAAAAGTCACGGTAAAAAATCTTTGAGTATTTTTAGAATTGAATAGCGTACTTCCCACTCATGTAACGAATAGAAGGCTTATAAAATCAAAGTACCTGGTTGTCGAGAAACAACATGTGGATTTGGCCAAGCGTTACACCATCAGGCCTCATTGTATGCCATAAACGCAGGAGCCTGACGCGAACAGCCTGGTCATTGTCATGGAGGTTCAATTGGGCTAAATTGCGGAGAGCCATCACTGATACGGCACGCTGGAAAAGAGTCAATATTTTGGATGGCAGCAAACCTTTTCACGTGCTGGAAATGTTCTTTATATAGACTTGCAGGGAAGGAAGTTGGTTTAAGCTTGAGAATAGGTGGCATAGTGGAAGAACGTGGTGATCATGGCAGTTAATGACTTATTATTTGTATTTATAATATATTTTAATAGGAAAATGACAGGCCATATTGGCAAGCGAAAGTAGCAGTACATAGTAAGCATCGGCTTAGGAACTATTAACATTGTTTACCCTAAGACTTGTCTGGATTCTGAATAATGGTGTGAATGGTCTAATGCAGGGGTTGGTCGAATCATAAGTCTGGTTCTGCACATAGCAACCTTGATCTCGGCATGATGTGAAAATGGAAGCAGCCAATGATCCTTTCATTGATGCTAATTACCTGGTCAGAGTTGGATTAGTAATTATTAACATTTCTTTTCCTTATACTCCAAAATGAAATGGATCTTTGGTGATGTCCAAGTTGTTTAACTGTACTGGATTGTACTCTGAAATGTCATTCAATATGTTTCATTTGAAATTTGATGATGAATTTGCTGGTTTAAGAGAGTGCGGGATAAAGGGGCCCATTGTATGAGCATGTAATGGATGCTGAGATGAAAACATAGGATAGGAAAACCATGTAAGAAAGGCATGATGAAAATAAAGATGTGTGTAATTCATTATTTGTCAAAGGATGTGATAAAGCATTTCAATTTGCCAAATATTGATCGTTCACATATGCGGGTTGGAATTCAGTAGAGTTGAAGAATTTGACGTTGTATTTTTTGATATCACTTGTCTCGACCAACTCCTCAACTACTGTTTTTGCATCCAAGAGAATAGGTACGTATATTGAAATCCATCAATCCTTGTATGGCACAACGACCCATTGTCACTGTGCAACACAACAAACGGGAACAAATGAAAACCAGTAAACAGTTTCGACAAACACCCCGCAGTCTAGCAACAAAAGGAAATTGAACTGTTCTTCTACAGAATCAAAGTGGAACTACTAATAGGGTATTGGTTACATAACGTTCAACACCTCAGATATCACTCTGGGTGCATCTTTCGTTTCAGTTTATTATCAAGTGTGATATCAACAGAAACGCCTTTGTCTGCCTCTTGATGTGCTGGATCTGGGATGGAAGGTTGCGATGAAGTTTGGGAGGACTCAACTCCACTGGTAATTGATGAACATGAGGCATCTTTGTGAAGAACAGAAGCTGGAGACTGAAATTAAAAAAATGGTGGAAAGTAGAAACAATTAATAGTAGGACTTTAAGAGGATTCAATGAAAGCTATTATTAATCAAGTACGAATCAGGTCATGCAAACATATGTCATAGTCATTGTACACAAAACAGTATAGTAGAGTTATAAGTCTGGAAGATCTAATGAGTAGCTCACCTGTTCTGTGGGTTCCAAGACTTTTAAGACGGTGAAATCAGCTTGTGAATCACTGTAGAGATTTAGCTTGAACTTGACATGGAATAGTTTGGTCTCACCAACTATTTGGAGTAGATCTGGAGGGGGTACCTCATTGTTCTGACCCGTCCTATTGAAAAGATCATTACCACTGACACCAAAGAAGCGTTTTGCTTCATACTCAAAGATGATAAAGGTAGCTGGCACAGAACTGCTTTCAACATCAAGCTGTATACGATATCTGGAAAGGCACGAAATGGAAATTCAGCATATTCAATGAAGTTTATAATTCAAGGATCTGATGGAATTTATTTTGGAACTCAATGATATGGTATTTACTTGGCAGCTCTTGTTGGTGTTGGCTTGTTGCATTTGACACAGTAGTATTCTCCATGTCTTTCTATGGGTTTAAGGACACAGGTTGGACAGCCCATATAACACCAAAATGGCTTGATTCCTACGACTTTGCATTCAACAGCATACACACATTCCTAGTTGTAGTCGAAGTGAATTAATATTGGCGTATAGATTAGAGAAAACACCATAATGTAAAATTAGAGAAAACACCATAATCTAATCTCATTATCAGGGTCCAATTGAAGTTCCAGCAATTCCGATAGAGTAATATTAGAGATGAAGGGGGGTGGGGGTAATTCAACAAACACGGGCTGCTGTGGTTGCACATTCCTTTTTCAAAAGAAATAAATATGTTAATTTGACATTGGTTCAACAGTATGGTTCGGATATTCATTAGCAATTAAAAGAGAATACCTGGTTGTGAAAGCCTTTACTTCTGGGATATCAAGGTTGGGATACAACACTGTTGAACCCGAAGAATTAAAGCAAAGTTCACCTGAAAAATTAAATTGATGTTGTTCCTACTGATCAGTCACCCATATATCTCAAATGCAGCACAGTGTAAACAGATGTTGTACCTAGGAAGGGTTTGACAGAAACCGCAGTTACAACCAGTATGACTTGTTCATCATCACCAGGCTTGATCAACTTATCAAAGTCAGCTACAACTCTTCCCCAGATAATAACTTTGACAACATCCCCTCTGTAAAACAACGTAGGCTTAGGTTTGACAACATAAGTAATGCCTAAGCATGGGTGTAAATGAACACCATACAATGAAGTGACCCATATAAATGTATATGATCAGAGGCTGAATAACCCATGATCTAAATTTATACTGCCTAGAAAAAGTAGAACGTTGTACCCAAGCAATCATCAATCATTCATGTAACTCCAACTTCATATTGATACAACCGTAGCAAAGATAGCTCTTACTCAATTAGTTTCAGTTGAAGCTCCTTCCGAATGGTTTTCCTAGCAAGATTCGTTGTCTTGATGGCATCCGAGTGCTGTACTACTTGCCCAACAACATCTATACAAAGAAAAGTTAATGGGAATTAGACGCAAGCAAGCACAGAAAGGAAATCAACCACTGAATAAATTACGGTTGTAACCTGAGAGGACGACCACATCATTCAATTTAGATGCCATCTCACTTGCTTTGAGGAATTTGAATTTGAAGGCAGGAATGGAAGGGACATCGGGAACATGCTCAACAGTAGTCTTCCAGGAGAACGACATGATATATGTATTGGCAATGGGGCGATATTTCAGTTGGGTCGTGTGAAGCTCAAAGTTTTTAATGGTGTAGACCTGCTGTTCCTTCAGCAATCGTTTGAAGTGTTCTTGCAGCACTGGTGGGATATGCACCCATATATCATTCCCCTGGGGATTTATAGAGACAAAATAAGACAGTCTGGATGATATGTGACGCAACTAAAGTTAATGTTAAACACAGCCGTACCTTGGCATCCATCAAGATGAGATCGAAATGCAGGACTTTATCAGTCGTCACATTAACACCCAACCATGCCCTGGAGACGCGACAATGCCCTGACCAGAGTTGTTTCTCGGACTCAAGATCTCGGATGCCATTGAATGCCATGGTGTAGCTACCAAAGTACATAAGCACTTAGTTATAGTGTAGGAATAGGAGGTTGGTTTGATGGAGGAATGAAGTGGGAAAAAAATTCTGTGAAGAAGAAGTTACCTGGCGGGATTTAGCAAGCGTCAACTGAAATATAAAATGAGCCGAGAGATTTAGAGAAGGTATATATATGTGGATTCCAGTTGGGGCAGTTACCAATTGCCCCACGTTGGCAAGCAACAGCAACATCTTCGGAAGGTAACTGCTACACCAACGTGAACTGCTTATTCAAAGGGTGTAGAGCTGGAGATGGAAATAGGGGGGAAAATTCAAATATGTCAGTTATAAACCAATGTAAATTTCCCAAGGACCGAAAACGCGCCAAAACAGAGCCAGTATAACTTACCGTCCATGTTCAATGAGTACCTGGGATTGAAAAGCAGCTCGGTTCCTTTTATTCCCCGCTGCCGCCGCAAAGAGGGCCAAAGTCGGAGCTGAGGCTTTGACTGCGTGACCTCTGATTCCAGGTGGAAACCATCTTCCAACCTGCACCCGGTTGAATTGAATTGCAATGTTCGGGGCGGATGTAGTCTGGGCAATTGGTTGCTTCTTCCAATTAGGGATATGGGGAGATGGATATTTGGGGCAGGTGTTCTGCATGGGGAAGACCGGTTAGCTAGCGCCATCCTCAGATAAGCGTTCGCTGCCGACGGGGATCCGAGACTGTGGTCGCAATTCACTCGCCGGTGAAAGGCAATGGTAGCGCCAAGAATTGTTTGTTGTACTCTAGCATCTAGGGTTGGAGCTCGATTCCAATGCTGCTAGGAAGCCGCCCAAAAAACCAAAAAAACCATGTGGGCCGAAACCTCCTCCACTGTTGATTAGGGGAAACGACATTCACATATGAGATCTTGTTGTGGGCTATAGATGGACCGTCATGTGTAACAGGCCCATGTGAAATATCTTTTTCGCTTGGTTATTTAGAATGGGTCCATTTATATATCTATCTACCTTAGAAAAGTATAAAGACAAAAGCTTATATCCTAAACTGAACTTTTCCCTTTACACTGGCGGCAATAAAAGTTGGGAGAGTGAAATGGGCTTTGCCACATTTCTGCCAATTCATTTACCATTTGTTTTTTATTGATCAATTAAACTATAATAACAGAAAATTCTCTTTCGTTAATTTACATTTAACACACGGGAAGATTTAATTGGGATGGTGCAATACATCCATCCCAATGACGTTTTTCTCAGAGTAAAGGGTTTTTGGAACTCAAGCGATCAATATGGTGCACTTGTGCTTGAATGGTGAGTATTCCTGCAAGTGAAATATACAGATCAAATTATTATGATTTTGTAAGACCTTCAAAGTTGATTTAATGTACTACCAAATGAGTCGCAGGACTATGTTGCTTAAGACGATCCCTTTCAGCAGCGGTTTGTTGGTTGGGAGGAGGAGTTGAAATTAGGTGTGTCATTTTCTCATAAACGTGAATCAATTGACAATGCATCGCTAGGGTTGGCAGATTGATAAAATAAATGAATACCATTTTGAAGTAGTGAATTTTTTAGCCAGTAAATCACTCGTATCATCGAGTAAAAAAAAAAGAGTTAGGTTTTCATTTATTTATTATCATTTGACAAAAACATATCTGTATGGTCAGCACAAATTATTGGTTGGTATGCGTGTCAAAAGAAACAACAACAAAAAAAAAACTTGCGGATGAATAATTGTATTCTTAATGGTTTCTATTGGTTTTTCGGTTTTAACCAAACCAAAACCATTAAGTTGCTTATTGGTTTAAAACAAAACAAAAGAAACAATTAGCTTTCCAATTGGTTTGGGTTTGGTTAAAACCCAAAAAACCCAAACCAAATGGACAGCCATAGCCACGTTTGGATCAAACAAATATAAAACCCAAAATAAAAAAAAAAACAATAAAAACCTCCCACCCACCCGAAGACGGTTTAACTCCCTTCTTCCTTTCCCTCCTCCATCGCTCTCACCTACCCTCCAGTCCCTCCACAGAAACCTGACCATCCACATCCCCAACCCGCCATCTTCTGCTTCTCCTGCTTCCCGCTCCCTCCGCAAACCCCGACCCTCCCACTACGCTCGCTCATTCTCCCTCGTCGAACAACCCTACCGTCGAATCACCACTCGCGCGGACTCCAACAACGGCACCGAGTCACGACGTCACTATTCACTCGCCGGCGAGAAGACCAACAGTCCAACCAAGCCATTGCATGCAGTCATGTTCCAGCCCTCCCTGACTGACCGATATTAGTACCATCTCTACATCTCCAGGAGGTAAGTTCTAAAGTCTTACCGCGTAAAGACCCAGCCGAAGACGTTTCAACTCCCTTCCTCCCTGACGCCTTCTTCTGCTCTGCTCACTCTCCGGCCAACAAAGCAACTGGAAACCCATTCCAGTGCATGCACTCATTTTCCAGGCCTTCTCTCTGCCTGATCGACGTTAGTCCTATCTCAGCATCTCTAAAAGGTAATTTCTAAAACCCTACCTCGGCAAAATCTCCCCTTTCCTCTCATCAAGAACTTCAACCAATTTTTCCAGCCCACTCATCAATTACATTCGCTTGCTGGCCTTCAAATTAGGTTTCTCCAGATCTACTACAATCTTATCATCCAGAATTTTTTTTTTTTTTAGTTCGATACTCCAAGGAAACTTTGTATGTTTGTATTGACACATTCATGTATTGGGTTGCTATTGTTTGTGTATATTCGGGTTTACATAATTAGTTGATTAGTTTTACAGCTCTAACATTTGTTGATAGAGTTGCTAATATTGCTACTAATCTAAATTATAGATTTTTTTCCATGGGAGACTTCGTTTCAAATCTGCACTATGAAGTTGCCGCAAGAATTTGGGACACTGTAGAAACTATAGATCTTATCCCTATGCAATTGGATGTTGCTAATCAGGTGAATCAGATAACATGTATTTTATCTATCCGGAATCTATATTTTATCTAAAGAATTTGCATCTAATTTGGTCTTATTTTGAACTCCTTATGTTTTGGCTTGTACCAGGGCAAGTCATACATTTTCAATGGCTGGGTCACAGAATTGAGGAGATCTTGGCATGCCGCATCCAGCATATACTTGCTTCACTTGACAATTGAAGATTTTATCACCGATATTGAGGTCGTATTTCCATCAGCTTACTTACGGCGAGTCATGTCTGCTAGTTGTTGGTCCTGATGAGATGGAAGATGTGGAGTACATTCCACTACTCAACATGATTGGTGAGATCGCCATATAGGGTCTTGGTCACATTCGGACCTTGGAACAACGTGGAGAATCGTCTTGATCTCTTCTTGGTTAAGTTGTTCCCGATTTTAGATGACTAAGTAGCGTAGGGTATTATTAATATAATCGGATTAATGTTAGTAATGGTCCACCTCGCTCTAATTTCGAATTATCTAACCGCGTAATGGATATGTGAACGCAAATATTTTTTGAAAGGTTATTATCCTTTTGAGGTGGTCCTTCATGTAACCATATTTTGAGCATCATATAATTTTGCTCTTTGTTTACTGTCACCTTCCTTGCTATTTGGTAATTCCTTTTAAATTATTGTACTCTAGAGTTTAGAGTTGGAACTCGCTGCCAATGCATTTAGGAAGCCGCCCAAACAAAATAAAAAAACCCCCACAGGCCCAATTTAGATAGGTGAATTTGGAATGTATCAGCCCGGCTGTGTGTAGTCATTTGCCATGGGTTTTGCCAAAACTCTGGGCCCGATTAATTCATGAGCCACATAGGAAATAAGCCCATTTTTCCAGCTAAAATATAGCATTTAAAATTTAGTCTTTAAAAAATGTTAAACTGTCATTGTATATATAATATTGGTAATAACAGAATTGTAAATTCGACAAATGTATTAATGTTTTCCTAAAATCGTCAGATCTCTTGAGTAATCTATGAGTACAAACTTTTCTTTTCATCAGTGGCTAGATACATAAGCTCAATGCATAAAAACATATAGTCCATTGCTAGGGAAATTGCCTTAACAAAAATAAATAGCCAAACATGACGCCTAACAGTTGTCCATAAAAAATATAAACTGTAATCATAAGTTAAACCTGAATTGAAGTTCATATAAATCAATCAAATATTTCTGGGAATACTATGTTCACCATTGAAGTGCCTTCCTCTCCATTCTCATTGCCACTCAAAATCTTCAATCCTTGCCTTGTAGTAACTCTTGACAATGCAACATATAGCTGACCATGACTAAAAACTTGTCTTTGAAGACATAAACCAACATTGGCTAGTGTTTGACCCTGACTTTTGTTAATAGTCATGGCAAAACAAAGAGCCACAGGGTATTGCCTTCTAATGAGGGTGAAATTAAGACTCTTGTAATGGGTTGATAATGTCAATCTGGGAAGGAAGACGCGATCACCGATATTGGTACCTGTCAAAATCTCCACCTCAATGAACCATTTACCCAAAGTCTTCACAACCATTCTAGTACCATTACAAAGGCCAACAGTTTGATCCATATTCCGTAATAGAATGACTGGACACCCAACTTTTAGTTCCAACTGATGGTCTGGAAAGTTTCCAATCCTGAGGTTGTTCAAAAACTCGGTTGAATAATCAGCATCCACAACTCCCTCCTTCCCAGGGTCCATCTCAATAGAATCTGCGCTGTAATATGCCACTGCATCTCCTGGGAATTGACTTAGAATATACTCATTCACTGCAGAAACCATATCATGGTGTGGAGCCAAGATAGCTCGATTGACTAAATAATTATGATCTCCTGCATGACTACTAATATCACTGTATATAGAGGCGACAATATCAATGACAGGATCACTCTGTCGAGGAATTACTAATTCCTGAGGTATGCGAATCAAAGACTCACCAAACACATCTGAATCTACTCCGTCTCCTACTTGCAAGAGCCAGTTCTGGAAAGTAGTTATCTCAACAGTTTCCTCCGGAGAGCAATTAGATCGTGCTAGCCGCATATTTTCAACTAACTTAAT